GAGACAGCCCCAGTCCCTGCCGGGGGCATCGCCTGCAGCCGGCATGGCTGGGGGGCAAGTCTGCAGCGCTGATGAGATGCATCTAATTATCCCTCATTAAGAGGGCAGGGCAGCGGCAGCCGGAGCCAGGAACTGGTTCGTGCTCCCCGGGGCCAACCTCGCCACCCTGGCAGAGGTCCCGGCTGTCCCAGCAGACCCGGTTTCCTGACGTCAGGCGGCCCCGGCTCCCCTGCGGCCCTCGCCACCCCCACAGCCGGAGTGCGGGGCCAGGCACAGCTGGGGGGGCCCAGAGATCACCCCCAGCACCCCAGAGCTTTTAGGAGGAGCAGAGCAGATGTGTGGGTTCCCACCCAACACACCCGATAAGGACCATCCCAGGCTGTTTGCCACACGCAGGTAAAGCTCAGCTCCAGGGTTGCTGAGCCCTGGAAATTTGGGAGGGGGGTAGTTTCAGGCCTGTCACTCCCGGCTCTGCTCTGGCGAGCTGGGATGTCTGTGGGCACTTTTGGTTCACCAGCCAGCCCAGTCTCTTTCCTCACCACCCTGAGGAGAGCCAAGGGCTGCCAAACCACCGCCTCCACCAAGACCCAGCTCCGCTGCTCACTGCCTCTCCAGCTCCAGGCACTCAGGGAAGGTCATTCTCCTGCAGCCGTGGATGTAAAGGACCTTTGACAAAGTCTTTCTCCGTTCCTCTCTCCCTGGCTGTCCGTGCCCAGACCCGCAGGGCAGGAGGCTGGTCCTGCCAGGCTGCCCGGGAGGCCGACGCTGCAGCTCCTGCCCTCCAGCAAACCCAACAGGACTCACTGCTCAGGCTGCTGGCAAGAAAAAGCCTTTGCTGTGGGCTGGCTGCGGGCCCTGTTAATATCGCATCCACACAGAGCCCTTACCAGCAGGTAACGGGGGCTGCCAGGGCTCAGCTGGGGGGAAGTAAGTCCTGCCCCAGGCTGGGTCAGTACCCACGGGAGTGACGTTCCCACAAAACACTCACGGCCAGGACGGGGCAGTGGCGGTGGAGCATCCCCTGCCACAAGACCCCCCCAGTACCACTGGCCGTGAGGCTCAGAGGGCTCCAATGCAACCCCTCAGAGCAGTACCACCACCACCAGCCCCCAGCTAACAGTAGTTCATCTCTTCAGAGGGAGGTTTGGGTCCCACAGCCCCTTTTCCAGCAGTCGCCCACGCAGCAGCAGGGAGGGCTGGGTGCTGCTGGGTGCAGTGCGGCTCTGCTGCCTCTAAAGGGAGTTGGACAACACTTGGTGCAGGTGTCCAGACACGTCCAGCTGACCGGCACCGGGCTGTGCCGTGCACAGGGAGAGTAACCAGCAGAGGGTAGCAGATGGTCACCACTGCCCCACTGCAGTTCAGGCAGGAGATGCCCAAAAAGCACCTCTAATCCCCCCCTGCTTCTCCTGGGCCTTGCCCCCTTGCCTCCCCCAGCCCCCCTCGTGCCCTCCGTCTGGATGCCCAGCCCCAGGGGGGCCTGTCCTGGTGTCCCCATGGGCTCACGCTGTGGATGTTGGTCTCTGTCACTCCCTGAGCCATTCTCAGGTGAACGGTGCAACTTCAGCAGGTGTGCAGCACCCACTGCACGGTCCCTGTCCCAGCACACTGTCCATGCTGTCACCTAGGACCACTGGGGCTGAAAGCTCAGCAGAAATCCTGGAGAAGAGAGGGCTCAGGGAGACCAAACTTGTTTTCCACTACCTAGAGAAAGGCTGTGGAGAAGGGAGACACAGCACTGCATGGCGAAAGGACGAGAGACAATGGGCACAGGTGCCACAAGGGAAACTCTGATGCACATTAGGAAAATAACGTTCTCTGAGTGTATGGTGCAACGCTGTGAGAAGACCCATAGTGGTGGGATCCCCATCCTTGGAGGGTTTCCAAACCTGACTGGATGCCAGGGGCTCTGATCAACCTGACCTTTGGAGATAGCCCTGCCTTAAGCAGGAGGTTGGACTTGAGACCTCTGCAGGGCCCTTCCACCCTACAGCTGTGACCCCATGAAACCCGAATCCAGCATTTTCTCCTGGCTCTGACCAGGCCTCCAGGAGCAAACAGCCTCTACAGTGTCCATCACATGGGATATGCCAGTACCTCCCCTCTCTCCGACACAACCTCTGCAACTACAAGAAGAGGAGACTATTTCTAGCTTTACTGACTAAAGAGCATTGCTCTGGCACAATCCCTGCCTGGGGCACATCCAGCTGAACTGCCGCAGCAGCGCAGCATCCACTGTGCACTCATGGAGAAAGCGGCAGCTTTCTAACTCCCCCCCCCCCCCTGCCAAAGGAGGGAGCCAGGTTTCGGTCTCCACACCGAGGGCGGTATGTGGGCCCCCTTGCTACAGGTCCCGGCCCACTACCGCATCCCTGAACCCGGGCCGTCTGCTCCACGCACAAGTGCCATCTGCTATTGCCTCACCCAACCCCAGCCACACACCCCAGAGCAATGGGACCAGCTAGAATTTGAGTCCCAGGCTAGAAAACCTGAGGGGGGGTGGGACTTTTTGAGATTTTTAAAGAGCTTATTCCCCATCTCAGCTTCAAAAACATCATGTAAAAACCGAGGGTGGGATGAACAGCAGAAAGTGCTTAAGTTGATAAAGGAGCCCAAGTCCTCCCCCATAAAAGCATTTCTGCCTCTGTTGTACTTCTCAAAACACTACCCATCTCATTTACTCAACCACAATGTTTATAACTTAAAAAAAAAAAGCAAAACTAAGTTCCCTGTGGAGTTCATAACTCTAAGCTGCAGCAAGGCTGATCTTGTGGGTATGCCACACCAGTCAAAAGAAAGAATCAGAGAAAGTAAAGAGTTCTGCTGAAAATGAATTAAATCTGGGAAGCTGCCAAACTGAGAGCTTAATGATCCACAGTGCTGCTAAAAATCCAGGGAGTAGGTGAAAAGTTGTTAATTATTCAGCACTGCTGGGCACGCCTGTTTGGAGAGGTGCCACTAAAAGCACTGATAGGGGTTTCGATAGGGTGTGCACACGTTGTGCTACCAACACACCCAAGAAGGTCTGTCCGGGGCCTCCCAGCATCAACCGCTGCTTTTGAAACGGTTCTTCACCGCGGGAGCAGGGGGAGAGCCTGTCCCAGCCGACCCACAGAGCTCAGCCGGCCACAGCGGAGCCACGTCAAATGGCACAGAACAGCTTCTGCCTTCGTGCTTTAATTGCAAGCCACTACTGCAAACATCTCCCATCCTTCCTCTACGTCCTGACCTCCAGCTCTGGTCACACAGTGCACCTCCTCAGCCCCACAAGGGCAATAAACTCCAGCGAGGCCAGGCGTGGGTCAGCTTTGATGTTTATTGCTTGCTCGGTGGCACGGCACAGCTGAGCACCCATCCCGGCGGGATGGGCAACGCGGAGCAGAACGTTTCGGGCACAGGGGCCTCGCTGTGGGTGTGTGTGAGCTGTCTCCCCCCCCAGCACCGCACCAGCAGGACCTGATGGGGACGATGTTGGGAGTCCCCTGGCTTTGGGGTGTGCTGGGTCAGGGCAGGGAGGAAGGGGCTCATGCTGTGAAGCAGCAGGTGGTTACTGATGATGGTGAAGATGCTCACTGCGGGTGTAGGAAGGGTTGGGCAGCACAGGCTGGTATAGACAAGCCCTGGGCAAGTAGAGCCCGGCTCCTGGTGCCTCACTGCGAGTGGACGAGTGCACCGGCACCTTGCCCAAAGCCAAAGCCCTTGGGACCAAAGTTCTTGGCGTAGCAACCTGCAGAGGACGGGAAGGGAGAGACAGGTCAGGCCAGTGGCTGAGCACGAGCAGGTCCTCCTCTCAAAGCAGGCACTGCCTAAACAGGACAGGGTTTGCCATATTTGTTGGGCAGACAGAGAGGCCCCAGACACAGCGGGAAGCCCCGGCTCTAGGCCAGGCAGCACATCCAGTCCCCATATGCAGCTGCTGGGGCCACCACCTCCCCACACCCCAGTCCCATCCTGGTTCCCTGCACAGGGGTTTTCACCCCCTGCCTCCACCCTTCGGAATCCAGGACCAGCCAGCGGGAGGGCAGCACTCACCTTTGCAGTAGATCTCCCCATCTTTGTCTGCCAGGGTGGTGGACTCCAGGCTTTTGCCACACTTGGCACAGCGGAAGCAGGACTTGTGCCAGGACTGCAGGACAGGAGCAGAGCCCAGTCAGACAACACCCGGGGACAAGGCAGCAATGCTTTGGCTACCAAACAGGGTCACTTTTCTGTTTCTGACCCAAAGTGGTTGGCAAAGAGGTGGGAATGAGATGAAAGATTTTCTTTGGAAAGAGTCGTGCTCCCAGCCCCGGGGGAAAGATACAGAGAGGAAACATCAGGTGTGGTCACTGCTCCCATGTTGATTTGGTTTCAGAGAGCTTTCACCCCCACTTGCAGAAGTAATCTGTACGATACTGTGTAAAACCATTTTTAAGGATCAGTCACCCCCTTCTTTGGGGATTGTTTTCTCTTGAGCAGCATGATAAATCCCCTGAGTTATCCAGCTGAGATCCAGTGCTTGGGGGGGGTGTCAGCAGGGTTGGGACACCTGCCCTTATACAACTACAGCTCCAAGGAAGGCAGCAAACAGATACTAAGAATGCAGAAATCAGCCAGTGCTTAAAAATAACACCCCCCCCACAGCTCCACCAGTCCTCTGGGGATAAATGAGCTCACAGCCTTCCAGCAGACCTAGAGTAGCCAGAGCTGCTCATGGAGGAATTTAAATAAACACTTTGGAAAACATGAAACCTTTTTTGGAAGAAAATGCGAAATTAGGGGGCTGGAGGAGGAGGTAGCAGATGGAGTCATCCAGCAAACATTAGTACATGAAATACATGCTCTGGAATCCTCCCCGGGTTTGTGTGAGGGTAATTGCTTGCCAGCTTTGGTTCCCCTTAAACATTGAGGCCGGAAGCCTACCAGGCAGCCCGGGTCATGATTTAAGGGTAAATTTGGCTTCTGACCCAGGGCTGACCCTCAACATGTCCCTCACAAATACCTGCACTGCCAGCTAGGGTATGACGATGCTGGGAGGCCCTTTCTGTTGACTAGATGCCTTCTTTCCTTGCTCTGGGGACAGAGGACAAACACAGAAACCCCAGGGAGGACAGAGCATGACGGGGGTCAGTGAGTGACCCAGTATCACCAGTCAGGCAGTGAGACTTTCCCAGCATGGCTGTCCTGTCCCCTGAGGCACAAAGCTGCCAAGGCAGAGCAAGCTCTGCCTATGTACCTGCCCTCAGAGGGTGCTCCAGGGCAGGGACCTCCCCTGGGCTCCCCGGGCTGACAGAGCAGACAGTGTCCCCATGCCTTACAGAGGGCTTCCCAGAGCTGGGCTAGGATGAGCCCACAGCTCGGGATGCAAAGGACTGTGGTGAACTGATGAACTTGACCTAGGAAGTAGCAGGGCTGTTCCCTTGTTGCTTTACGTCTGACCCCGATCAAGACCCAGTCCACCAGCAGAGCAGCCCAAGGGAGATGCACCGAGCCCATGCCCGCCTCCAACCACCTTGCCCTGCCTATGGGCAGCGCTGACCACTGGAATTCATTCCCTGCCCCGAATTTGGGCTGTGGCACTCCAGTCCTTGGCAGAGGGTGGAGAAGACTCACTAGACACTGCATTTGTTCAGTTAGTGGTAGCAGTGGCCATGGTCCATGCCACTGCTCATCCTCCCAACACATTTAGCAGCAGGGATGTCCACTGTGACCTCTGCTGAGCAGTGCTCCGAATATTTAGTGTAAAATTAACTTCTCTTCCATTTACAAGTCTGTAAGAGCGATGCAGCCTGGAGAATGTGGTTTCCAGACATGCCAAGATCTCTTTTTGGTGCCAGGCTTCCAGGTGAACATGACCACCAGACCCCAAGCCCAGGCGGAGGTGCTGGCAGCCCAGCCTGCAGCAGCCTGTGGGTCAGGTCAAGACCTTCTGTGAAGGCCTCCCTACCATACAGCGACCTGTGGCATGTGTGTGCCCCATCCACTCCATCCCACTTCTTACCTTTCCAGCTCCAATCACCTTCTCAGCTGCATACACTGCCTGCCCACAGCGAGGGCACCCATCAGCACCTCCGACCTTCTGGGCCATTCTGGAAGCGTTAGGGTTGGTGGGTCGGTGGGGCTGGCCCCTGTGGATGGGAGGGAGTTCATGATCAGGGCTGCACAAGCAAGACAGAGGAGGGAAAAGCTACGGGATCACAAATCCCAATCCAGTTTTGAAGGGCCTGGAGCTTTAGGCTGTGTGTTGAGCCCCATGGAAACTCCAGCCTCACAGCTGTGTGCTCGGAGGGGATGGGCAGCATGCTGAGGCAACAGGGACATGTCTCGTCAAGCCCCATCCCACCCCACAAGTACGGTTCAGCGGGTTTCCCCCGAGGAGCAGAAAGGCAGGGCAGGCCACAGCACTCTCCAGATTAGATACTGCTGGAAATTCAGCACAGGCCACACGGCTAAGCATCACAAACAGACAGAAGATGCCCACAATAGCCCCAGTTTCAAAAACAAAACTTAAACTCACTCTTCATATTTGATTCCCAGAGACTCTCCCTTGTCAGTGCTCAGGGTCCCTGCTCCCTGCCCGTATCCATAGCCCTTGGGACCGTACTTCTTGCCGTAGCAGGACTTGCAGTAGATCTCCTCTCCATGCACAGCAACAGTGGTGCTGTCCAGGTTCTTCTTACAGACCACTAGAAAAGAGGGGAGGGCCGTGCCATTAGCCTGCTCATCCAAAGCTCACTAATTAGCCGGAGTAAACAAGTCCTCACAAGGGATGGCACAGCTCAGCTTTCAAGGAGTAAGGAAACCCTAGACAAGATCCTTGTTAAACTGAGTGCATGCAAAACAGCCAGAGATAAGGATCGAAACAAGAACATTGTCTGGCTTTAAAAGGAAGCAACCACCAAAGCTACAAGGTTGATACTAAGAAAAAGCTCTGTTAACCCTCTTGCTGCTGGTATCCTGGAGATGCACTTAAACCAGCGGGGGTGGAAATTTCCCTACAAATCACTGCAGGATTCATGAGCACAGGGATGGACAACCCTGCCCCACTGCAGCTGCAGCTCTGCCACATTCCTGGTCCACTCCAAATACAAAGCAATAGGCACTCGGGGAGAAAATAATGTAAGCAAATCTATTTTTCCTTGTGTTCAGACTAAAAGCAGACCTGCAGCCATCACCACGGCTGACACAGTCAGTTCTCTGACACATTACGCTATGCACAGTTGCCTCTCTAGACCCCAAGAACATGGTGAAGAGTTCACATGAACGTGTCACCCTGGGTCAGTGCCACGATTAGGGTGTGCGCACAGGGTGGTCTCAGGTGAGGAACACTCACTCAGCCGGTCTTCAAGCCTTGGGGATCAGATTAATATGGGATGTAAGAAGGGACAGGAAGAAACAGCAGCCAGGCTTGGGGTCCCAGCTGAGCCCACGCAGAGCTTGAGCTTGGTGTTGGGGCTCAGGCCACACAGACTTTTCTCCCAATCTTTAGGTTTTCCTGACTCCTGTCCCAGCTCTGATCTCAGCCTCCATGTCAGCTTCCAAACCCTTCCCGGAACACGCCGCCCAGCAAGCCGGAGCGGGAGGCGAGCAGCACCCAGACAGGCTCTCAGTGATCTCCAGTGTTTACCTGACCCAGTGCAGGATCCAGATGCCTGGGGCAGAGTCCACAGCACTGGCAGCCAGCCCTGAAACAGATCCTGTTACAGCTGCGACACAGCCCTTCCCCATCCCGCTTACATGCCTTAAATGTTGAGGCTCCCAGCAGCCCGTTGGCCTCTTCACCAGCAGAAAAGTTTCTTGGCCTTTACCAATATCACAGGAATGCAAACACAGCAGAGAGCACAAACCACGGGGGCGAGAGGCAATCTTCCTCGGCCCAATTACTAAATATGGTGCTTCTCCTCTGGGGCCACGGAGAACCCCGTGTGCTGCTGCTGGGAGGAGGACATGGAAAGGGAAACGTCTCCTGCCATCTAAGGAGGATCTGACAGGGTCCTCTCCTGGCTACAGGCTCCTCCATCCCCCCACGGCAGGAGCTGGGCATGGAGCACACATCCCTGTTGAGAAAAGTCAGCTCCGGTTAACCCGTCCCACAGCTGCCAGGCTCGTGGGCTGGTGCTGGAGTTCTCTCTGCATTACCCTGGAGCTCCCCAGGAGCAACACTGCTTTCAGACAGACCCTCCAGGAGGGGAATTTGGGCACATTTAAAGAGCTTTGTCCTAGGGGTGGGAGTGAACGATCTTAGAGGCATCTGTCCTCTCCCACTGTGCTGGATGGATTTAAAGCTCTAACCTAAGCTTTCACAGTCCCTCATCTGTACTAGCCGGAGACTGCTTTGAGAAGCAGCAGAAAAATTCTTTCCTGGTCTGCTTCCTAGAAATCAACCCCCAGCTCCTGGGTTTCTACATTGCAGAAATTCCATCGTGCCACACTCATTGAGTTAAGGACCCTTTGTTTTTCTAAACGCAGCAGAGCTGCTCCACAAAACAATTAGGCAAGAGCTGCTGCTACTTTCAGAGGCCAAACGGTCTCATTACATTACATTTCTGCCATGTACTATTGACTCAGTTGGATCGATGCCACTGAGTCAATCACCAAGTCACTCCCCAAGCCGATCTAATGCACTGTGGTAGGTTTGGCTCCTTTTTGATTATTTTTTTGGCAGATCAGGTCAAAGTATTTGTTTTTCTCCGCTAAAGATAATGACCTCAAGTCCCTGATGAGGCCCAACTGCAGCACTGGGGAGCAGGCTGGGAACGCAGCTTCACTCACAGCCTGTGGCACCAGACTGGGAGCAGCAGGCAGCACTGTGGGCTGGCATGCAAGCCATGGCCTAAACTGGGGACCCCGCAGCTGGGGAGGGCAGAACCGCTGGGGTACACGTGGATTGTGATTACATACGTCTGCAGAGCACAGGGACAGGAGCCCTGACTGCAGTCGGCTCAGGACCACTCCCTGGTGACTTGCTTCCATGAGCAGACACAGGATGACTTTCCTTCCCACTCTGGCCGTGTATTCCCTCCTCAAAGCAATGCCTTTTGCCTGATTTCATGGCACCTGGAGGCCCACCCTGTGCTCTGGGTGCCAGCATCATGCAGCAGAAGCTTTCCCTAGCAATCCAGCTGCATGCAGAGGGGCTGCAGGAAAGGGCAGACACAGTGCAAGGAGATCTTTGTCCCCACGCTGAGGTCCTCCATTGATACAGAGGTAAAAGCCAGTGGTGGTGGGGAGATGAGGGTAACATTCCTCACCCTCTTTATCTGAGGCTGCAGAAGAAACACGATTTCCTGCTACAGAGAGCAGCCGCAGTAAGGACACAGCCTGCCATCGCCCTCCCCGCCTGGGGAAAGACTCTCCACAACTCTCCTTCTTCGTGGTCTGGAGCTAAAACAAGGCTTCCAGCCTGGGAACTCCCACATACAAGAGCTACCAGCCATGCTGGCCACTCTTGGTGCTGCACAGGGAGCAGAGATGCAGCAACAGCCTCTCTCATGTCCTCATCCGTCCGTGCGTGCCACATCCCAGGCAGGCTGGCCAAGCAGTATCCAGTATCCAAGCCAGGCGGACAAAGGAGCACGGCAAGGATCAGCCCCACGAGGACACTGGTATTTCCCTGCTGGAATAGGTCTACTGATATCAGTCCTAGCTGCTTGCCTGTTTATAGACCCTGACCGTATAGAAAAGATCACATCTCTGCTCCAGGCTGCAACGGGAGGGTGAGACTGGGAACAGGGTCCAGGGATCAGCTGAGAAACTGTTAAACCTCAGTGGGGCCCTGCTCTGAGGATGCACTTCTCCTGCTGCTCCATGTCACGTGCAGTGTCTTGATGGGCCACCAGCAGACATAGGCAATGTGCATGTGCCTGTTAGCACATGGGAATCACTAGGTCTGTTATGTGATCGTCTTCAAGGGCAGGGGACAGAAATCTGGTAAAACACTGGCTGAGGACAGTGGTCATCTTTTATTCAAAGGTTCTGCAGTCCCCCTGGAGGTGGATGCCCCAGGTTTAAGGAGCCGCTCTCAGCACTGTAACAACTACTCACCTGTTGCTGCACTGCTGCCCTGGTATCCCCAAAGGGAAGGGAAGGGTGTCTGGGACCTGCAGCATGAACCCAAGAGTACTTGTAGGATCCTGCAGAGCAGGTAGAGGAAGGATCTCTGCACTGAGTTAACCCACAGCCAGATCCTGTTCTGCTGCCCTTCCCTGGAGGCAACACTTGGGTCCAAACATGCAACAGAAACTCGCTCCACAATAGCAGATTTTCAGGCAGGCTGGAGGTGATGCTTTAGCACTTCACAGTAGGCCTTCCACCAGCAGAAGGGCCAGGACAGGACCACATCTTCTTGCCATCATCTCCTGGGACACAGCAGCAGATCCCATGCCAGTTTCCAAGCCCCATCACCACCTTTTTAGTTGTGGCAAAGCCACTTAGAAGACTAAAGTTAACATCACCTCAGAGCATTGCACGGAATGTGCCACCTCCTGCCATCACCCTTTGGAGAGTCCCTGTCCCATGCTCCAATCATGAACATCTGGAGATAGTCTAGAGGACTCAGCCTTTCCCTGGTGTAGGCACAGACCAAATCTTTGTGTGGGTGCTGGCTGAGGTCAGCCCTGACAGCTTGGAGAGCCTCTGGTGTCCTGGGATTTGTGTTCCTTTAGCAGATCTAAGTTTAAAGTCTGGAGAAAAAGAGAAAAACTGCCACATGGCTCCCACAGCCGGGCTGTTTGTAAAGGAATCCTAAGGAGCGTTTACACAGCCCATAAACAGGACATGACGGGGCACCCAGCCGGCGAGAGCCAGGAAGTGGGACGGGAGGGGCGAGGGAAGGGAAGGGCTGGTACTCACTGCACAAGAAGCAGGACTTGTGGAAGCTGCTGCCTTCACATTGCACCTCCTCAGCAAAGTACACTGCCTTCTGGCAGACACCACACTTCTTTCCTCCTCCCCAGTTTGGCATCCTGCAGAAAAAGCACAGGCAGAAACAGTGTCAGGGGAGGTCAGGCAGGACGCTGGCCAGGCAGGAGGCAGGGACAGGGCAGAGCAAGGTGGCCAGAGTGGGCACCCACCAGCCGTGCTCCGGCAACTGTTCCACATCTGCGCACGCAGAGACCACCCATGGATGTTTGCTGTCTGCACAGCTTCACAGGGATGGTAATTAGCAGAACTCAGGATGCCCACGGGACCCATCGTTACAGCACCCAGCAGTATCAGCTGCCTCCTGGGGACCAGTGGTCCTACCAGCCAGGAGCAGCAGAAATGCCCCTGTCCTGGAAGCCATGGCACCTCACAGCTCCTTTCTGTGCCAGGAAAAGGGAGGAAGTGGGACAATGATGGGAGATGGTGCTTATGGAGGTACCCACAGCCCCGTCACCTCATTAGATCACAGTCCTGCTATTACCCCTCGACAAGGCAATGCATGGCCAGGGTGAATGATCCTGGATGCTGGAGAGGGCACAGGCTGTCTGGAAACAGTTCAAGCTTATCCTCCACAAACATCTCTCCCATTTCTGCCACCACAGGGCAGGAGTATAAACAGGGTTGCCCAAAGGTCAGGAGTTGGCCCCTGATACCATCAAACAGCAGCCTTGTGTCCCCCACAGCATCATTAGTGTGTGCCTTGCCTGGCCAACTGCTCACAGGTTCCCCCCATACTTGAGGCTTCTCAGTCCCCTCCAGGACTGCAGGTACAGCCACGGAGTCTGGGAAATCAGCAGCCCCAGGAACACAGGCTCCAACTTAAGCTACCATGAAGCTCCTTGGCAGGGTATAAATGCTTCTATTTCTCTCTCCTCTTTTCCTGAAATGTATCTGATGAGACATGATTAAGAGGCCCCTTGATCTGCAGATATGCAGATAACCCCAAGATACTGTGAGCAGCTAACACAAGTAGCAGAGCTCCAACCCAAGAGAGGCTTCGATACTTTAAGACCAGGCCAACACAATCCTCATGACATTCAAGCAAGGAGATTCTGAGAGAGGCAGGCAGGCTGAGCGTAGTCAAGAGATCTAACAGCAACCTAGTGTTGCTACAAAGACAACAAAACAAAACATTTCTTGGCAGTGCCCAATGATATAAGAAAGGTCAATGGGCACAAGCTGCCGCTTGGGAGGTCTCCAGAGGCCTCTCTCCACCAACACTCCTGTAATTCTCCATTCTGTTCTCATGTGTGGGCAAGCAACAGAAGTCACCCTCACCATTGCAGGCACAGCCATGTGCTTCCCAACTCCTGAACAGCTAAAGGTCCCCAAAACCAAACACCACTTTCACACTACACTGTGTGCCACCCCACAGCACGTGCAGGATCTCGCCACCTCCCTCGGCTCGCTGCATGGCTATGAGGAAGGGGACCTGGGTCTGTCAGGGGGAGTGAGCCCACTCCTGGCAGCAGCTCCCCATCCCTGGGTCACACTGGGCAGCTGAAGCCTCATCTCTGTGTCTCCAATCCCCCACGCAACGGCTGAGTTGGTGGCACTGCCCTGCCTGGCAGGCAGTCAGGGAGATGGATGCTAAACACAACAGGACTGGAGGCTGTATGAATGTCATACGGAGAGATGAGGGAGGACAAAATGCTGCAAACCCTCTTCTCACAGGCACAGCGAGATCTCTGTACCTTCCAGGATATGGGAAAGTTGAGCTTTTCCCTGTGTAAGGGTATTTTGTCAGGCAATACAAAAGGGAAATTGATCTCAGCCTGGTTATAATAGCAGGCAGGGCGTGGGTCAGGGCTGACGTGCTGGCAGGGCTGCGCAGAGGCTCCGCTCCTGGACACACGGAGGGTCTCAGCATGGGACAGACAGAGCTGGGGAGGGTGCTGGGAGCGGGGGCTGGAGAGGCTCTGCTGGCTCCAGGGTCCCCAGGAGCTGTGTCTGGGGTGTGATGGCAGCAGCCCAGGCGGGAAGTCTCCTTTCTGAACACCCTGCAGCCTGGGCTTCCCACCACTGCGCAGCCGTACCAAATCCCTCCCCTCCCGCCTGATGGTTCCAGTCCCAGCCTTTGGATTGCCTTAAAAGGACACAAACTGTTTCTCTCCAGAGCCTGTTTTTCCCCCCCTGCACCAGGAGGAAAGCCCGACCTGGTTCAGGAGTTTCCTTGGGGGGCAGAAATGTCCAGCGGCATCCCCCTGCCAGCCCAGGCAGTGGGGACGCCCGCACCTCCATGGCATGGGAGCCCACAGGCCCCCTTTGCCCCCATGCCCACCTGTGTCAGACCCCTTGTCAGGAATAACACAACGCTGGCTACAATGTCTCAGGGTCCCCCATCCCTTTCCAAACGCGACGGCCAGCAGACCCCAGCTCCGGGACTCACCAGCCCTGATTTTGGTGAGCAGCCTCACGCTGGCAGCCCCCTGCCTTCACTCCACAGCCAGGGCACCTGCAGGCACGCTCAGGAACAAACTGCCTGGCACCGTTTGGAGCCAGCTGCTCCCCTTTGCCCCCATGATGCATCTTTTTTTCCCCCTTTACAGTGGCAGCAAAGGATGAGACTCTGTCCCAAACAGCAGGGTTCATCTGCTCAAACCGAGACATTGGCAGTGGGAACACCTTCCGCTGAGCTGCCTGTAAGTCTACAGGAGGGAAAAAGATGCTTCTGGGTGAAGCTCATCTGGTGTTTGCCACAAGAGCAGTTCAAGCCCTTTTGCTGCTTATTTTCTTCCATCCACTATGGGAAGGTTGCAGGTGCCTCCGCACAGTTTAACCAACGTCACTGATTTTTCAGCAGTTAACTCACACCATGAAGCCCCCAGAAGCACAGATGCAGCCCCAGCAAAGCCACATCCCAGCAAGACCTCCTGGGTTTTCTTGGGGGAGAGACCATGAAAATGAGATTTTCCTGGGGATACCTTGTGATAGCTCACAGCTGGGCACAGGGAAAAGCTGAGATAAGATTTAAGTTGCTGGGAATTCCCTCTTAGTCAACAACATACACAGGCACATGCTGAGGGCCTGGCAGGCCACATGAGAGAACAAAAAGCAGTTTATGCTACAGGTCAGTATTAGCAGGAAAAAAAAGAATAGGAGCACTCCACTCACAGAGCCTGGGACCTGCACGATCCATCTCAGCAGCAGAAGCCTTACAATAGCCCTCTACACAGACCCGTCATCCCAATTCCCTAATTAATGACTACTTTAAGAGTATGTCAGAGAGTTTGCAACTCTTTCAACATTTTTTTCAGAGTATGTTGCACCATGAAGCTGAGCACCATATTCTGCCCAATTGCAGTACTTGGTGACCGCAGTCACACTTCTCCAAATCACTATTAGACCCATGCAGAATGAGGAACAGGAGGTGACTGTCCTGCAGCCAAAAACCTCACTGAGCATAAGCAAGAGAGACACCCAGGGCTGCCAAAAAACAAGATTATTTTCCTCCCTCCTGCAGCTCCACATCTCATGTACCACAGCTTCGCAGCAAACACAACCAGAGCCCTACAGACGGCATCCTCCGTGCCAAGCGTGGCTCAGCCTCTGAGCCAGTCCAACATCTGCTCTGGATAAGGCAAGGGGCCTCAAAATCCAAGATACCATTCTTTTATCAACAGCTGTACTGCTGTAAAGCATGGACACAAGAGAGGCTTGTGCAGAACCACACAAGCCTGACACTTTTTGGAGATTAATTTCAGTGTCTGATGTCTGACTGCAGCAGTACAGTTCACCGGGTCAAAGCTAAAGGCCCACCCATGTTTCAGATGGGCTTGTGTCACACCAGTTTGGGAGGCAGTCTGAACAACCGGGCATAAACCAGTATGGAACCAGTATGTTCTGGTGCTTCGGGATGTCATCTAAACCTGGGCTCTAAGGGGAAGCAGAGAGCAGATGAAGCCAAGCCTTCAGGCAGCAGGAACACATGGTCACCCCCTCCTTAGAGTGGGTTGGAAGGTCAGTGTGCTCATCTCCCACCACCGCTTTACCTGCCTGAGAGCAGCTTGTTTTCAACTGCTAGAGCTGAAGCAGCACCCGCCACCATCTGACTGCGGCTTCCCTCCTACGGGAGCACTCAGGGCACTGCAGGTTCTCCCCCCTACACCCTCCAGTGATCTTTACCTGCAGCCACCAGGATGTCAGCTCAACCATTCAAGCTTCTGCAATAGCTGGAAAACCTTTCACACATACGTGCCCAGATGTTCTACTAAAATCCTACAGTAATTAATTGCAGAGTAATCACTTGGAGATCACTGAGCAACAGGAGACTCATGCTGGCCCATGTAAAACGTTCTTTTTTAATATTCTTTTTTTTCTTCTTTTTTCCAGTGAGAGCATTAATACAAGTGGATGGCAGAAAAGCACCATCAGTGCTGCACAAAATTCACTCCTAATGATGTTCACTGCAGTTCACGCAGGATTATCACATGGCCTGGCAAAAGGACAAGTCAAAGGGGAGGAAACCACAGTAGGAGCCCCAAGCCCTGAGGTCTGATTACCACCAGACAAACAGCATCTGTCACAGAGCAGCTTCCACATCACCTGGACACAAGTGGAAATAACCCTACAAGAGGCAAGTTAGAACTGTTCCTCTGCTGTGTAACCAGGTGGGTGAAGCAGTGATGCGAGGAGACTCTGGGCTGCCAACAGTGTAACTGAGGATAAATGAAGGTCATTTGTGATACAGTGATGTGAAAATGGTGAGCAAGAGGATAATGGAGTCCTGAGGCTGGTGAGCACTGGGACATGGTGTCACCATGGAAAAATCAAAGAACTGACCCAGGAGATGCAGCTGTATCAGATCACACATCTCCAAGGGCTTTGCCATGAGAGGAGGGGAGGAAGTTGGGAGGATCTGAGGTCGAGTGATCCTCAAACGTAGCTTATCTACTCTACAGATCCCAAACCAACACAGGCATTACTTCTGCTGCCACTGCTAAGGCAGCCTTCAGCTCACGGTGCCAGGGAAGGGGCCAGCACGAGGCCAGCACTGCGCTGAGCCGTCTGCCAGACGTGGCTGTGGGCAAGCACCCACCAGCCCCAACAAGCCCGCAGACCACCCCACCCTTGCCTGTTGACTGCTCCCAAGCTCTGGTTACAAAGGCAACTTGAAAGTTTCCTATCACAACTGGGCTCCCCAAAGAAATCCCAATTTTGTACAGAACAAGAGCCAAAAGCATTTTCAGGTATGCTAAGAAAAGCTACCGACTCCTGCGGGAATCAAAATCCGTAACCTGATCAAGCTCACTGTAGGTTTTGCAAAGCCCTTATTTGCCCGGATCGGTCACGTCCTCATCATTTTGTGCTGCCTCCCAGGAGCAGGGAGAAAAGCTCAGCCACTGCAGGGACAAAGCGCAGGCACTGACATGCCGGCCAGAGGGGCCCTGACCCAGGAGAAGACAGGAGAGGCCGTTTGCGAGCCCCAGGCTGGACAGACAGTGCCCACTGACCCGCGGGAAGGGGAAGGCACCATGCTGCCTGTCCCACGGCACCAAGCATTGAGCTACTTGTGAAGCAGCAAGTGCTCCCCAGGGCTGGGAGTGCTCACAGGCACCACCTCACCTTTCCGGCCTCACCACCAAAAGAGCCAGGAGGTGCAGTGGCCCAAGCCCATCTCACCCAGTCCGTCCCTCCCTCTATCTAATACTGGCAGCATCCGGTATTTTAGCCAAGTGCTAATTAACCCTGCGACACGCTGCCCTGCTGCCAGCTCTGAGGTTTGGAAAGCGGCACCTGAAGCTGAGCTCAGGGTGCGCCCAGCCCGGTCCTCACCGCTGCGAGCCTTCACAAGGAGACATCAGTCTGCGCCAGCAGAAAGGCTGGAGCTGGCCCCGTCTCCCCGGGTTTAAGCTTTACTCCGGCTGCGAAGCCAAGCGACAGCAGAGGCCACGTTCTGGCGAGGGGACGGGGCGCAAGGACTCGGCTCGCGGCCCAGCCCCAGCCCACAACCCTGAGGTTTCCCTTTGCAGAAAGGGCACAGACACGCCGGGCCGAGGGTTAAGGTTAACGCGTCCTGATGGGAAGTGCCCGGGCAGCACGGTGCCCGCTCCCCGCCGGGTTAGGAAAGTTCACCCGGTCTGATGCAAGAGCTTTGGCTTCCGCCTCTGGCGCCATGTGCACGGATGCTCGGGCCGCTTCGTGCCTCAGTGGGCCCCACCGCACCCGCACCCACCCCGCGGGCACCTGGGGGGGCTGTGCCCCTGTTCCAGCCCCCAGCCCCACAC